TCTTCTCCTTCTCCTCCTCCTTCTTCTTCTTCTTCTTCTTCTTCTTCTTCTTCTTCTTCTTCTTCTTCTTCTTCTTCTTCTTCTTCTTCTTCTTCTTCCCCCTCCTCCTGCTCCTCCTCCTTGTCCTGCTGATCAGAGGGGAGTACATGAAGGGAAGTGCAGGTGTTCGAGTTGTTCAGCCAAACTGGTTATTGTGGCATCCCTCCCTATTTCCTTCCTAACACTTCCTTCAGTGTGACCTATCTTTATCGTCCACTGAAAGGCAAGCTTCCATACTTATCTTCGTGAGGCTGGGTGACCGGCCTCCGCTGTAACTGACAGGCTAGTAGCAAACTCAGACCCATGGCGGGAGTCTTTGATGAAGGGAAGAACCACAAGAACATGCTACTGGACTTCCGTACGGCTTTCCGTGGAAGCGTGTTTGAGAGGTATCATGTTCTCCCAATCCAAGTGGCCACTCTGGAGGCATTCAGTGATGTGGATGATGGAAACTTCTTCTGGGAGTTATGTGAGTTCCTGCAGTACGGAGAAAATGCCGATCTGCTGAAGAGAGATGACGACGCTTTTGTCAACAAGTTCAGTAAAGAGATCAGAGCAGATTTGCACAGCCCAGATACGTCGATGCAACGTGCCTTCGTCGACATGACTAAAGCTTTCGCAAACGAATCGCCCGAACTCTTTGAGGAGCTCTTAGAGAAAGCAAATGCTGAGTACTTTTCGGATTTCGACTACGATGACCCAATCTGTACCGAGTTGGAGATCAAATTGAGAGAGCTTGCACTGTTGCACTCAAACGATTACTTGGCGAAAATCTTTCATCGGTCGGGGATGGAGGTTGGTCACGAGAGCGACATGGATCTTGCCATCAAAATGTTTGACTTGTGCACAAATGCGCAGCCGCTCGACGCTTTGGAAAGAAGGATGCGCATTCTGGTGACTGAGGTGCACCTTATCGATTTTGATGCGGTGGGGGTGGGTGGCAAACACTTTCCCTTGCGGATGCTCATGCTTAATCTGACTGATGATGGCTATGAAGACCATGGCTGGTTTGCCGAGGTGCGAGATCGTGAGACAGACATCCTGGTCGCTAGAGCCTATGAGTCGGCCCTGATGGAAGAGACATTGGGTCTGATGGAGCAGACACGACTCGATATCGTCGCTGCGGACGTTGTTGAGCAACGCTATGAGCCGCATGGAGACGTTCCGACATTGCAAAGGACATCAGGGTATTTCAATGACCGTAGCTGGAAGGAGCCCGACGGGTACGACTTCCAGTGGTGTGACGATGGCTTCTGTGAGCGTGCTGGCCGCCAAAGAAAAGTGTTCTCAAAACTGCTACCTGAGGAGAGGAAACTTGTAGTGGAAGACTTAGTTCGTCTCCGGAAGAACTCCTTTTCCAGGTCACACGACCATTCTATTTCCTATTCTAGTGCTTTGGAGTTCGAGCGGTTAATTCCTGTTGCTGCCATGTTGTCCTCTCTCCATTTTCGGGAAATTTTCGCTAAACGCACTCGCCCTTGCGACCATTTCGACTCCGTTGTGAGGAGGTTTGAGCTCCGTACATCAACACTGGACGAGTCTCGGAAAAGAGACCTTGTACAAAACGTCAATGGCTTTCGTGGGGTCTTCAAAGGAACTTGTTGGGAGCAATTACCTGACGACTTGATTACTTGGATACTGAGTCATGTCGTGCGGCCCCAACGACACCTATTCAGACCACCTGAATAGGGGAGAGAGAGAGAGAGAGAGAGAGAGAGAGAGAGAGAGAGAGAGAG